AAAAAATAGCGAAGTCCTCAACCCGAGTGATGACCAAAAAATTTGGGGGAAGAACAGAGGCCAAATCAAATTTTTAGCAAGGAGAAAAAGTGTTGGGGCTTTAGAACACATCCCTGAGGCCCCCCTTTGCTTGGGCAAATCCGGGGGAAAACCCCATTAAAAGGAAAATCGAACACGGAAGTTTTCCCCTCAGTTAAAAAAATTTTTAAGGGAAAGGGTGGTAAATGCCTTTTGGGGGCCTAAGGAGTGGGGGGTTTGGGGCCCAAAAAATTATACCCCCAATTGTCATAAAACCCTTCCCCAAGGGCAAAAAATATGGCAATAACTGAGTGGGTTATTTGCAAAGGGGTTACGAACATACTTTTCCAAGCGTAGTAAGGGGGGCCATGGTAAAAAAAAGGCCCTTATTAAAGGGGGGGGGGGGTGTGTGTGTTTTGTGTGGTGTGTGTGTGTTTTTCTAACAAACAATATTTGCCCAATAACCCCCTTTTTTGTGAACCCGGGTGGGGGAGGTGAATTGCTCATTACACTATAATTTGTTCATAAATTTTAGCCATGTATAAACGTAAATAACCATTCTTACAGTTTCATTACCTTTTTAACTTGTTTAGTTTTTTTACCTTTGTACCCATTTTAGCCATCAAAAATCTTTTAGGGGCCCCGCCCTGGACCCATTACGTACCTCTGTAATCTGTAAATACCTTTGAAAAATTTTCATGATTTTGACTAACCTACCTGGAGTTCATTACCTTTTTAAATTGTGAGTTCATTTCCTTTGTAAAAATTTTGAATTCATTTCCTCTGTAACTTGCCAGCATCAAAAATTTTTAGTCCATCCCGGGGCCAAATTTTTACCTCTTTAAACTTTTGACTACCGCCCACAAAGGGTGGGGATGGGGGGCATAATAAACATTAAACTAACTGAAAGCCATGTTGCTAGCGGAGAGACTGTTTGTGTCCTAAATAACCCCATTAAATGTCGATTTTTCCAACGTTTTCATCCTTTGCATACTGCACTAGTAAGAGCGAGGGGCGATAGTGGGAGGCATCCAAAGTCCTGGGAGTTTCCTGGGTTGCGGAAAGGGAGAACAGGGAAAATTTTCCCCAGCTGGGGGAAAAACTCCTTGTGCCCAAATAAGATTGAAGGGGGTTAAAGGAAATACAAGGGCCGGAAATGATTTTTAAAAGAAAAAACCCAAAGAAAATGAAGTCGTTTTTTGGGCCCCGCTGCCGATTTATTTGGGAAGCTGGGGAGCGTTGCCTCCATTCCTAAGTTTAAAAGGACATTATACTGTTTTTCTCTGAGAGAAGAAAAACCCCCAAAGGGGACTAACTCCTGGGAGACTTTTTAGGGAAAAAAACGAGGGGCATAGATTTGGGGCCCTCGGGAAATACGGGGACCAAAATGATTGGGCCCAAATTTTAAGTTATGAGGATAACAAAAAAATTAGGTGATGAAAATTGGGTTTCAGATTGGAGGGAGTATGGAGGGGTGAATGTATTTTAAATAGGGATGGACTTGTCAGCGGATGGGGCTATGAAAGTGAGGTAAAACATAGAAATTGGGTGAGGGGAAAAGGGTTTAGTGGGGGCACTTAGGGTCTGGTTGGGGAACCCAAAAAACTTTGTCCTTGGAGGGAAAGAGGGGAATTTATGAAAGTATAGTTTTAAACCCAAAGGCCTCTTAATAAGGGTGGAAGCAGGGTGAAAGAATGTTTTCAGCGAGGAAAAAAGGCTGGGGCAGGAGATTTTCATTCTGAAAGGGCAATGTTGCTGGGAATATAAACAAAAAATTCGTAGTTTGGGGAAATTAGGAGGAGGAGCGGGATTTCCAAAAAATGTTGTCCAGAGGGCTGAGGAAGGGTTTTTTGAGATGGTTCGGACATGTTTAAAAGAAGGAAGGGGAAAAAGAAAGGGCTTCAAGAGGGGTATCAGTCTGTAGTGGAAGGGAAAGGGGGGGAAAGGGGTTTCCCCCCCAGGAAAGGTTGGGGGGGAGGGGGTAAAGGGGGCTTTGGGGGTGCGAGGGGGTTTTGGGCTTCCCAGCAGGCAAGAAAGGGCGTGTTTGATAGGGGTGAATGGGGACAAATGGTTTTTTAAAACTTAAAGTTCGTTGGGGTGTGACAAAGTAACATATATGAAGGGGTTCAGGGAAACCGGCCCGGCCGGGGCTTGAGTCCCCGGAGATGGGGAAATACAGTGCCTCCTCTGAAAGGGGGGGGTTAATGTTTTCAGTTTAAAAACTGTAGTGGAAAGCAAACCCCTTTTGGCAAGACAGTGATGGGGGTAATTATGGGTGAAAGTTTCTTTTTCGGCCCACCCTGCCTTGGTGGGAATAGGCCAGTGTGATAATAAAAAAAAAAATTTTGGGGGGGCATTTTTTGTAGATACATACTTGACTTTTTTCTGCTTAAGTTTTTTTGACCTAGAAAATGTACAGAGAACCTTCACGGCTCGCATAACGGAGATAAAACACCTCAATTACTGGGAGCGCTTGAGGTTCCTAAACCTGTATTCTCTGGAACGCAGCCAGGAGAGATACATGATTATATACACCTGGAAAATCCTAGAGGGACTAGTACCGAACTTGCACACGAAAATCACTTCACTATCGAAAGCAAAAGACTTGGCAGACGATGCAACATCATCCCCCTAAATGAAAAGTAGGGGTGTCACTAGCACGTTAAGAGACATACAATAAGTGTCAGGGGCCCAAGAACTGTTTCCAAAGACTGCCTCCCAGCATACATAAGGGGATTACCAACAGACTCCTGGCAGTCTCAAGCTGGCACTGGACAAGCAACCTAAAGTTGGTTCCTGACCAGCCGGGCGTGGCTCGTACGTTGGTTTGCGTGCAGCCAGCAGTAACAGCCCTGGTTGAATCAGGCTCTGAGCCACCAGGAGCCTGTCAGAACAGACTGGGCCCGGGGGCGTTGACCCCGGAACTCCTCTCCAGGTAAACTCCAGGAGGGCAATTCCTTGAGCTGGTGAGAACTGTTGACCCTTGTGGGTGTAGCACTTATGATTAAAATTGATCTGGGGGGGGGGGGGGGGGGGGTAGGGGGGGGGGGGGGGCCCCAATTCTTTTGCTTCATTTGCCATGTTTTTGGTTTTCCTATTATGCAGCCTCGAGGCACATGATACTAATGATTGGTTGATCCAAAGAAATTTACTATACTCGTCGGTTCAAACCTGGTTGTCTCCTTTACACAGACTAATTTAACCCCTATGGGCTTTTTTTCTTTTTTTTTTTTTTGGGGGGGGGGTATAGGGCCTGAGGGAATGCATGTCAGAACCCAAGGCAATCATTCTTTTGATCAAGAGTATGGTAATCTCCATTGAAGTGCCAAAATTCTAACATTGAACCCTGGTTCACTTTAGGCATCTATTGGCGTTAAAGAAGTTAGTGCAGCTTACAGTAGGATGAGTGGGTATGTTCACAGGATGCCAGTCTTCACCTCTCAGAACATTAATGTCCGGGCTGGCACACGGCTCTACATGAAAGCTGAAAACTTTCAGAAGACTGGATCATTCAAAACCAAAGGTGCCTGCAATACGGTCAGTCAACAAATTCATAAATGTTATCAGTGGCTCGGGTATGGGGGTAAGCAGATGTGGCTAAACACACTTGTAAATACTTTTTACTTTTTTTTTTTAGTTTGGTCTGGCCTGCAGTTGTGGATTGCTGTGCATCCTGGTAGAGGGTAAAAGGTAACAGTGTAACATTAAAAAATTTGGACATGTTTTCCCCTTGGAACTGGCTGTTACCCCTTTGTGGTTTGGGCGCTTTTTTTTTTTGATTATAATAAAAATTTGTCCGGGAACCTTAATCACTTTTTAATATACGGGGGTTTAAAAAAAAACGGTAATAAAGGCAGAGTGGGGGGTGGGGGTGAGGAAAGGGTAAAACCCAAAGAATGCAAAAATTGAAAAGACGGGTAGACACGGGACCTTTGGACCCTTTGTTGGGTTATGGTTTGCCCCAAGTGTACACTCCGGGTGTTAGGAATTTGCTTCTTTTTTTTGAACAATTTTGCCCAGAAATTTTGTTATCAAGGTTCATGCTGTCCAGCAGCCCCCCTTCCCTACAACCCCTTTGCCCACATTTTTGGCCCAAAATTCCACCAACCCCCCCTTCCACCCTGTCCTTACGGGTCCAAAAACCTTTTTTTAATTTTCCCCTTGCCCAAATTTTTCCAAAACCCACAATCCCCCCCCCCATATAAACCCACCTCTACAATTCCCCAATAGCTACATGCCATCCTTCCAAAAACCTACCCCCATAACATGCCCTTACAATTTCTCCCATGGCCACACACCTACACTATTCCCGCATGGCAAAGACCACACCTTGTCCAGCCCCCCACCATTTCTTTGACCTCATGCCCATACTTTACCTGATGTTTCACACTAACATGGTCTCCATATACCTATAACTGTAACAATCTTTATTTCACAGACCGGGCCGCGGGGGCGTTGACCCCCGGAACTCTCTCCAGGTAAACATATACAGACCTAGCTGATATTGACATATAAATAGAAGCCCCTGGTAATGGAGACCATTTTGGGAAAATTAGGTTTTCACCATCAGACACCATACTACACCTCTCACCATCACCACTTTAATCCCAATGAGAATATCTGGGCTATGATGAGATCTACAGGAAAAGGACATCAGCTCACTCCCATGGCTTGGGGGTCACCATCTGCGAGTCTTGGGAGAATTTATCCCAAGAATTTGTGAATCACTTCCAAGACCATTGAAGGATGTCCAAATGTGCAAGGGATAGCATACAAAATACTAAATCATTGGTAAGTACACCACTATATTTTTCTATATTTTGTAACCATAGTTTGAGTGGGCCAGCATGCTTGAATGACAAGTATTGTAACTTTTCTGAGCCTAGTGTACTCGACTCCAGTAGCCATTTAACGATTTTCTATTAGCGTTAGAATTATGCTAAAAAAAAAAAAAAAAAATGTTGGCAAATAAGGCATATAACAAAAACAATAGTTTTATTTTGACCACATTGTACAGTATAAAGAATTGGCACATTTTAATCAAGACTCACAATGCACTAAAATGGCAGTATAACAGAACAAAGGTTTCTGTTCACATTCTTGTAATATCTTTGGTTGAACCTGTGGAAGTTCTGGCCATACAGCCTCATGTCACTGCTGCCAAGTTTTATACAGCAAATTACCCAACACTTCTTAAATACAGAGTACTTACTGTGCAACTTTGAACACTTCAATTACATGTATACCATTGGAACTTCTCAGTGTGAAAAATACAACTTACAACAGTATTTTCATGTAATTTTTAAATTTCTAAACATCAAACATTTCAAAGTGTAATTTACACCAGTCTAAATATGTACAGTATAACATTCCAAATAAGCAGTGTTAACAAGGTATAACTTTCTTAATTGCCAGAACAATTACTTTTCACACAAATATACTGTGAAAATTATAAAATTTTAGAGTAAATTTCAATTTTCAGGTAGTTTTGGTACCGTAAGTTGAACATTTATGAAATGCTGAATAAAATTACCTTTCCCAAAGAACATTGTCACTAAAATTGCAGTTTTAAAAAAAGGAATGCGAGAGCAGAAGTTTATTAAGAATCCTGCATTATCTAGCTTACAGGAGTAAAGGAAAGAATGGAAGAATTGTGAGCACAGCAATTGGCAGTAATGCTAGACTAGTATATTAATTAGTATTTAAACCTATAAATTATTTTGTCTAGTGTACATTCTAATAACACATTTATGCACTGCTTCTGATTGTATACAACCATTAAAAGTATTATTCCTTAGGACTAATTTAAGGTTCTAATTTAGTTTGACTATAGCAGCCATCAGGAAGGGAAATCTTTATTTCTTCTATATTAACAACCTCAATTTGGAGTCTTCTAATCTCCTCTTCATACAGTGAAATCTGACGTTCTTGCCAACTACGAGCTTCTAGGAGCTCGGTAACTGTAGTTTCCAAGAGTGGGGGGGGGGGGGGGGGGGGGGAACAACCGCTTTGGTAGTAAGTTTGCCATGCCTCCTCTAGGTGCTGTTCTAAATTTTCCAGCTGTGATGGGTCAAGGTCTGGTGAACGCTCTAGTATATCCAAGATTTCTTGTACTACTTCATACGCTTCACGTACCTTAGCACTGGCAATATCTGTTCGATCCTTAGCTTGATTGGCTCTTTCCTGAGCTTCCATCACCTGCTGATGATCATCGTCTGCCTGAGACTCGTATGTGCTTACAGTTGAGTCTGTCCCTGCTACCCTACTTGCCAGCTGATCTGCTTCATCCTTCAGAGAACTAGCTTCATCTTTGGTAGCATCTGCTTTGATTCGCACATCACCAGCTTCTTTGCTAGCGTCACTCGCTGTCTTCTGTGCTTCCTTGGCAATATCACGTGCATTTTTTGCATCAGACTCGGCCCCCACTAGTGCTTCCTCAGCATCAAGAGTACGTGCTTCAGCTTCTCCAATTAGTTTCTCGATCTCTGCTACACGAACTAGAGCATTCAGTGCCTCGCCACGGCTCTCCTGTACTTGCTTGTCAAATCCTGAAATTTGAGTTGTAACAAAAATGTTAATTTTCCATAGAAATGAAATTGGACTGAATGTATCAATTCACATGCCATACATATGTTGAAGGCATAACCATCCTAAGGTAACATAACACTCCTAAGTTGATAGGAAAGGATACCAATAGTGAAGAGATAATGACATCTGCTGGGTAATACACCCCTGGCTGTCTTCCAGAAGGCACTGGACAGGCATCTAAAGTCAGTACCTGACCAGTCAGGATGTGGTTCAGCTGGTTGACTGACCTGATCCAACCACCAGGCCGTGGAGCATTGACCCCCAAGAACCTCAAGTATAACCAGGTCTCCTAGAGCAGCCACTACCACAACAGAATCAAATCTTCTATTGAAGATTTTAAAAAATGACATAATATAAACAAGAATAAAATTTTTACATTGAAGCACATGCACAAGATACTAAATTCGAAGCTGCAGTGTGTTTACAGATGACAAAAAGCAGATTGCAGTCATCAGCAACCAGATAGTGAAGCCCACTAAAATATCAGTCACAGTATTAGATATCAAGATAGTGATACTGCAGGATCAAGTATCTTGGGTTTTAAAAGAATGTTTAGAAAAACACAGATCTTTTCTGAAAAAAAAGTATTGTGCTGATATTCAAAAAATGATGGGAAGCAATAATCTTGAACCCTTTCACTTTTCAGCCCCTCAACTGAAACTTGTACACAATGTCCGAGACTTTAAAAAAAGAAAAATTTAGTCTTTCTTATGAAATGGTAGAGAATCGTTTATTTCTGAAGATAATAAAACAAAGTACGAAATTTGATAGAAAATCGATGAAATTAAGCTTTCACGAATTTTGCTGCATCAGCAATATTTACGCATTGGTGATTTTGTCCACTTCGAGTCCTATTTTAGGCCATTACGTAGTTCCAGTCGACCAAATACTTACCTGTTTCACTAGTATGTTGCCCAATCAACTATTTTCAACTACCCAATAATCACAATTAGTAATTTGGTCAATTTCAACATAGGGTGTAGAATTAACAATACAGGGATTCCTGGCACTAAAATAACATTTCCTCCATTAATTTTAAAAAGTCAGCGTCTCCCACTGAGCAGGGTGACCCAAAAGAAAGAAATACATTCATCATTCAACATTCACCAACAATCACTGTTTTTGCAGGGCACCAACAACAGTTAAAGAAATATAAAAATACTCAAATGCATTCCAAACCTTCCCTTAAGTCAACATTCTTCTATTTTCAGTACTCAAGTCTGGCTAGATAAAACAGTTTCCCTGAATCCCTATACTAAATATGGCCCCTCAAGGAAGGTTCCTTGATGTTGGTGAAGGGCTCTTGATTTAGGAATTGATCTGTGCTCCATTCCCCGAATTAAGCCTGAATGCTTCCCAATCCCCCCTCCCCAGGCGTGTATAAACCCCGGTTTAGCCTTCCCCTTGATTAAAATATAAATATACTAAATATTACCCTGCTCACACTCCAACAGCTTGTCAAGTCCCAAAAATCAATCGTCTCCATTTACTCCTATCATGCTTACACATGCCTGCTGGAAGTCCAAGCCCCTTGCCCACAAAACCTTTACCCCCTCCCTCCAACCTTTTCGAGGACAACCCCTTCCCCTACAGATTTATATGCTCTCCATGTCATTCTACTTTGATCCATTCTCTCTAAATGTCCAAACCACCTCAATAACCCCTCTTCAGACCTCTAATACTTTTAACTCCACACCTAATTTCCACACACCAAATTTTCTGAATATTTACACCACATTGCAGCATTTACAACCCAAGCTTCACACCCATATACAAATAACCTGCACATAGGAGAGAGGAGCTTATGACGACGTTTTGGTTCGACTTTGACCATTTATAAAGTCACCCTAACAGAAAGGAGAGGCAGAGCCAGTATACATATATAGGCAAGCTGGCGGGGATAGGACAAGAGAGATGGGAGTAGCTGCAGTAGTAGAGGTAAGGCAGATAGTGGAAAATGTAACAGTAGTGGTAGTGCATAGTAGGAAGAGTGATTGGTGGGACAAGAAATAGAAAGGTGAAAAGAAAAAGGAGGCAAAAGTGAAGGTCATAGTAGTAGTAGTGGAGTCAAAGGCCATGAAAGAGGAGCACTGCAGGAGAGTTAAGGGCCCACAAGGGGTAAGATAAAAAATGAAGGGGGTAAAAAAAAAGAAGTAAAGGATATGACACTCAAGGCAGAAAGAAACCCAAAACAAGAAAAAGAAAAAAATAGGAAAGAGAGTAAAAGAAAGGTTAAGTCATCTGTTCTTGTTTTGACATCTTGATACATAATAATGGAATTAAAAGTTCATTACAAGACAAGCTAGGCTAAGGATCAACAAGAAAGTTGTGAAAAGATTCACAACAGTACTGGTAAGGTAGGCAGTTTTAGTAGAAGAGCCGTCTATAGGATGACTGATCTCTAACAGAAAAGAGTACTGTTGGTGCCAGAAAGCCTAACACTTCTTTTGTACTCCTTGAGTCTGTCAAAAGAGAATGGTCAGTTTCTCCAACATAATGAAGGGGATGAGAGGAACTTGAAATAGAGTAGACATAAGGGCATCTATATGAGAGGAGAGGTACGAACCAGATTAGCGCGAAAGGTGTTAGTCTGGTGAAAAGTAAGTTTGGTGTCTAAGGAATGGAGAAAATTATTAGAGATTAGAAATACAGGGAAGGCAGAGAAACAAGAGATTTCCCAGGTCAACTTCTTCATCCAAGGAATTGAACTTGTCCTTTCCTTTCTTGGATTGAACCCAATTGCCTCCCATTCAACAGGTTAGGTGCTTTCCCCTAAATACAATAATAAAAGGTGGAATATTAGAATTTAGAAGACATGTAACCTAATCTAGTTGTCTAATGAGAAAGCAAGCAATAAGGAGCAGGACATTACCTATTCAAACCCCTCAGGTTACTTGTAATCTGAGTACAAAAACTTAATTATTTAAAACAACTCGTAGTATATAAATGAGCAAGTGCATATTAATGAAAAGTAATTTTGTTACATAAGCAGAGTACTGTAAGGAAAAATACCCTCAAGAACAGTAAGTGTGTTTTTGGCCTCTGTAAGTGTCTTTTCTGCCTTCTTGATAGCATTGCTTGCTTGGCCCTCTGCTGTGGAAGTATCTGAAAGGAGTTCAGCTGTAACTTGCTGCTGTGTCCATCCACGATTCTTCAGTTCTGAAGTTTCTTCAATCTGAGTCTGAACGTCCACGAGCAAATTGCTGCGATCATCCATTAACTGCTGTGTTTCAGTCTTCAGCCTTTCAGCCTCGCGGGTGATGGCCGTAGCTTTAGGAAAAAATAAGAGGTTATTATTCATAGGTCATTAAGCAAATAAAAAAAAATTTAATGAATGTGGAACAGTTATTAGTAAATCTTCTAAAATTTGTATAAATTACAGGAAATCCTCTTATAACAAAAAGTAGAAAGGGTTACCCTTAGCAATTAGATAATAAGGCAAGAAAGCAAAGTAGATACAACAATGTAAGTTGAATGCCAACTAGTTCAAGTTTTAGAAGCACAATACTCTTCAAAACAAACTTTACTGTGAGAATGAATCCCTCATCATGTAACCAGTGTGTGTTACCCTTCTGCTAATGAAATAGTTTATGTTTGAAGCATATGCTGTCCACTTACAAGTAGCAAGTAGGATCACTTCAGCTTGTTTCTGCATCCCTATGCAATGGGAGCTATCGAGTGCAAAGCTCATGCTTATTTGTAGTAATTTTAACCTGTACTCGCCAGTAATATTCTCAAGGCTACAGTGATAACTCATTTACTGCAAAAAAAAAATAACTGCCAAACATACGTGAAATATTTGTTGTGTTGATGAAAAATCAAAATCTGGGCAAAAGGGAAAACCCAAAAAGAAATTAACTGCCTTGATGTATGCTAATGTAAATGACACACGAAGTCAAACTAATTGTCACAGGAAAAAAAGTGCATGTCCCTATTTGTTTCAGTATTTTAAAATGTTACCAGGTGAAACAAGTATGCCTGGAATATAAAAGAAATTTCCAGTGACTGGTTTAACTCTTTTGCTACTTACCTTTTTAAACTTTTTATGCCATGACGAACATCAAAACATCATAACAGGTACTGAAGACAATTTTGTACAATGTACTATACCTAAGGTGAGTATATGTTCACTGAGGAGGAGGATACAGGTGCTACAAGTGGTCTGGAAGGGGTCACAGCAACACAGGCCTAACATTTCATTAATGAAATATGCCTCTAAGACATAACAACACATTATTCCAGATGTTAATAAAATATCTATTACTAGACTAAATATGACAGTAATTAATTAATGTTCCACCTGATCAAACTGAGTGACTGGAAATTAATGATCCTAAATGTTGCAAACAAACAAGATAATAAAGTTTAGGTAAAATAATCTTTATAGTACAGAAATTGTTATTCAGTGGGAATCATCCAGCTCAACAGGTTACATGACAAAATTTAAAAAAAAAAAAAAAAAAAAAAGTATTAAACACAAGAACTTAATATTTATTAAAGAGGCTTCAAAAGACTTTTGTGCATCCTCATACTAGATATTTAAAAAAAAGGTTCCTGTAAATAAACAAAAACAGTCATTTACCTTGATCCTTCAGCTGGGAAGCATCTATTACTGGATGGCAATACTAGATGCCTCTGTGCTGAAAGCCAGTGCTTCACCGTATTTGTCTTTGGCAAGTGCTCGTGATTCATTGGCCACTTGCATTGTCCTTTCATGTGAACTGAAAGGTCACGCACCTGACTGTTTAGACCCTGAAACAAGACAATCCAACAAGTTGTGATATTTGTTGTAACTTCAATGTTATATCACTACAGTACAGTATTATTTACAATATCATATATGTATTAAGATTCCAAAAAACCTTACACAGAAATTAACAAACTGCTTACCTTTATAATATCAGTTATGTTGCGCTGATCATCAAGTGCCTTGCGAGCTAATAAGTAAGCTTCATTGGAGATATTGCGAGCTTCATAAGAAATCCTCTCAAGACTTTCAGCTTCGTCTTCTTGTCTGTTGAAGTTGTGTGCTTTTATTTAAATGTTTACTTTCTGAAGATTTTACGAATACATACCTACATGTGCCAATTTAGAAATCGTTCTTTTGAAGCACAAAATATAACTAGTAAAAATAACAGGTAAAAATTAACATGATTTTGTAAATTTGAAGACTGATTTTTTTTTAAACATGTCAGCTGTTTCCCACTGAGGCAGGGTGACCCAAAAAGAAAGAAAAAAAAATTAATCATCATTATTGTGCATGTTAATAAAGCCAACAGGTTAAGTCATCCCCTCTTCATTTTTTGAGTTATTATTGGATTTATGTGATTTGCTGTAGCAGATCATCAGGTACAAATACCATAGATGAGGAAATAATGCTGCTTGAGGAACATAGTAATATATCTTGAATGTGTGTTGTAGTATGTGAGCATTGAACTTTAATTGCAGTCAAGGTGCAGACTTTAGAATTCCCCCCCCCCCTCATTATGTCTTACAATGAATCACTTATCATTCTGAGGTGCAAATTTTTAGCTCTGTTTCCTAACATCATGTAGAAAAATATTAAAAGTGAGTCCACTGGTAATCATCCAATGGATATCAGTGTTATTGAGAGTATGTAAATGGATCTGAATGCGAGATAATAAAAGTTGTCATGTGCAAACTGAACAGGTTTAGGTACCTAGGAAGCATTAGCGTAGATGAGGAAAAGAATAGGGCCAAGGACATTACCCTGAAGTACCCCTATGTTGATAGGTTAAACTGATGAGGTTAGTCCGCCATTAATTAAGGTAGGACTTCAAGTATGATCTCTGACATAATGTTCTAATTTAAGAAGCAAAATGTTGTGGTCTACTGTAGTGAAAACTTTCTAAGGTCTATGGAGACCCATAGGATACATCCCCACTCTGAAGGAGGGTGGAATGTTGTAGTTTGGAGAGTCACCTGAACTGTGATGCCAGCATCCTTCTAGTAAGATAGTGGTTGATTAAATGACAGTGAAAATGTTTTCTTTGTCAGGTCACCCTACCTTGGTGGGAGATGGCCAGTGTGTTTTAAAAAAAATTGAGTCAAATACTTTTATTATTGCATTCATACTTTTTCCTTGCCTGAAACCAAACTAACAAGGATTAAGTATATTGTAGAACACTAAAGTAAGAGTAAGCCAATTTGTAAATTAGTTTTTTCAAAGATTTTAGATAACAATGGCCTATAGTTACTGATATCAACTGGGTATCCACCTTTATGTAGTGAGATAATCCTTGACATCTTAAGTATGGGTGGAAAGGTTCCGGTTTCTAATGATGTGCTGAACAATGTTGTATAAGGCTGAACATTTTAGAAAAAGCAATACTATAAGATTTTATTTCATTAATAAAAAGCAGTATATGCCATACTTACTCATCAGCCAACAGACGAGCTTCCCTAGCAATTTCTGACATGCGTGCAGACTGCTGGCCAAATTGGTTGGAACGATCAAAAGCCTTGCCCAATGCATCATTTCCTTGCACATCTAGGTAAACTTGAGCATTCTGTGGAGGGTATTCATACATGCAATTATTTACTATTTGTTTTATTAATTGCCTTTTCATGTATTTTCAGCATTTTCTATTAGCACAGTCAGACCTTCAAGTTCAGAAAATTCACTTTAATCAACATTCTTTAGTAAAGGGCTTTTCAATAAGCATTGCCTATTTTTTTTTTTTTTTTGGCTTGGCACTTGACCCCTAAACTGAAAAGTAAACAGGATTTCATTCAAAATGCTCTTATGGTGGTCGCACTCCCAAAACTCTCTTCTTTCTGGACTTCATTTCTCATAAATGTCAATATAAATGAAGGTAAAGCAGTTTTTTAGGAGACACTGTTTCTAAAACAAAAATGAGATCAAACAAATGGAATTTGTGAATTTTGAACTTGAACCTGTAATAAACCTAATCTCTGCATGCTGGGAGGTCTGAGTGTACAGGTAGTGAAAGAATCTGGATGTGAGTTAAGTGTTCACATTTGGGACACGAGGGACTGAGAGAAAACCTGTGATACACTAAAAACCAGAAAATTCAGAGAACTCTGCACCTGCTTGAGTTTAATTTAAGATCAAAAAAATATTTTCTGCTTTCTAACTAAAATAATCAAGAGAGCCCAGGAAGCTGGAAAGCAGAATCAAAAGTAGGCAAAACAGGTTTAGATATGTAGGTCATTCAAATGAGTGAAGTAGTCGCTGATCGCCATGACACAATTCAATCCTTTCCCTGTAGTAATCCACCTTATGAGCCAACTGCTCTACAGGCTTCTACATAATCAAACCATGATCCACAAATATGCAATCTATGTCACCATCACACCAACCTGTGCAAATAAGGTATCTGTAATTACAAAATGATAGTATTTGCTAACAGGAAGGCAGCACTAAATATCAAGATTAAAAGTAATGACACTATGGTCAACATTAGTAATATAAGATAATATGTGTAGATGAATGGTTCAGAGAACCGACATGTTGATAAATAGACACATGTGCAACTCTTGGTATCTTTATTGAGGAAACGTTTTGCCACACAGTGGCTTCATCAGTCCACACAAAGGAGAATCTTGAAGAACAGGAGGAGAATGAGATAATCATCCCTCAACCTTGAGTCAATGTGGTCAGTCCCATCAATGTTGAATAGAATACGGCATACGTGCGGAGAAGGAGCTTATAAAACCGTTGGCAGGAGAGGTGCAGCAGTCATAGGTGGTGTCACATTTGTTCAATGTGGACTGGCCACATCGACTCAAGGTTGAGGGACTGATTACCTCATTCTCCTCCTGTTCTTCAAGATTCTCCTTTGTATGGACTGATGAAGCCACTGTGTGGCGAAACATTTCCTCAATAAAGATACCCAAGAGTTGCACATGTGTCTAATTTATCAAGATAATATATACATTAACATTTTTAATCTTTGAAGAATTGGCAACAGACAGAACCAAGTCCAATACAGTATATGTATTGCCACCAAGGTGGGTGGTTGATAATACATTCTCATTATTATTCAGATTTATCAGATCCAAAAACTCACCTAACCATGTCAGGGCTTCCATTGTGAACAATCAACCCAGAAACTTAAGTCTCCACATACAAAAAAGATTCAATATGACAACCAAATTCATCAACAAACAAGGAATCTGTGCCATTGGTTGTCAGGTAATAAACACCCATTAGTCTCATAATCTACCAATGATAACTAACTTGAATGACACAACAGGCTAACCAAGGGACATTTGATGAACACTCAATAAAAATGAATAAATGACTGCAACTCCACCACCCTGAGTAGCTATTGCTCTTGAAATGTGATAAACCGAAAAAGGATCTGCGAAGAGCAGCTGCAATTGCTGCTATGTTGTACTCCACCATCCATTCTTCTGTCAGTCATGGAATACCCAGAGAAAACTTTCAAAATTTCAATGACATGCAGAATTCTATTTCTTATTTGAGCACATATAGGTACCAGAGTGTTGTAACTATTAAGACAAGTACCTGAGAATACCATATTTATTAAAACATTCTCTGGAATATGCACAAGTACTAAAGTGTTTTAACCACAGTATTAAAAATCTCTGGAGCATACACAGTACCAAGAGTACTGTAACTATTTATAGACTCTGGAGTATACAAACTTAAGGATGCTATGCTGTACAGTATTTGTAACTTTTCTGGAAATAAATTACTTTGAGCCTTAGCACCTCTCTTAATTACCTTCCTCCCCATCACTGCAATAAATAATTTGTAGTATTAAAGGCAAAAGAAAAGAAATAAAATGAAGACAGCAGTTAGGCATTGCTGGAAATGTTTTGACTGTAGCTACTGACTAGACACCCGGTGGCCTGGTGGCTAAGGCTCCCGCTTCACACACGGAGGGCCCGGGTTCGATTCCCGGCGGGTGGAAACATTTCGACACGTTTCCTTACACCTGTTGTCCTGTTCGCCTAGCAGCAAATAGGTACCTGGGTGTTAGTCGACTGGTGTGGTCGCATCCTGCGGGACAAGATTAAGGACCCCAATGGAAATAAGTTAGACAGTCCTCGATAATGCACTGACTTTCTTGGTTATCCTGGGTGGCTAACCCTCTGGGGTTAAAAAAATCCGAACGAAATCTTATCTTAACTTATCACCTGAAGGGTACCCAGGTCCTTAATTTGGTTAACTCCTCTCAAGTAAATTCTAATTAAAAATTTCTTCTTCCTCTTAACAGAGATGGTGGTGGTAGAACTCAAAGTTATCATTCATGAAAGGTCAAAATTAGTTCCTGCCACCTAAAATTATCTTTCCCTTTATCCCAAAAAACTAACATGATTCCATACCTAATAATCTTAATAAACTTTTACTTAAGAATCAGGAAGTCATTAGGGGCATAATTATCTACATTAACAAATTTATTGTATACTGTATATAAAATTACAGCATTTCAAGAATATTACTACTTGAAGAGCCTCTCGAGCTCTCTGAATGATGTCCTCAGCTTGTGTGATGTTAAATTCTCCCAGTAACGCCAAGCCTGCACCACGACCCGCTGCCCGCCGTATTCCATTCAGCAATTCTTTTACATCATTGATACGTTTCTCTAGTTCCTCAATGTGTTGCGCTACAGTTTTGTCGCCTGTAAAGTTACCACAAGAAATGCGATGAAAGATTTGTTCCATTTCATATCATTAAGGATACACACACACACACACACACACACACACACAATAGCCAAAAGTTGAAAATGTAAAGAACTAGGTAACATACAATACACAGTTCTTTCTAGCCCTTTTACATTTTAACTTCATCAATACTATTTACTGATTTCCAATAATTTAACAAAGCATGTCACATCAGTTGCATATTTATCAATTTCAGAGTGCAGAAAATTGCACTATTATAAAAAAAATGTATTTTCTGAGAAAGTTTTCCAAAATCCCATCCTTATTAAATCTGTCTTGCTTATTTTGTACTAAATTAAAAAAAAAAAATAGGATGAATCAGTTTAGTAATCACAATGAAAGTAACACTGTGCCAGAACCTTTCTTTTCACTGTAGCATGCAAAAGTACAGCAAGTCTGAGCTTCAAGATTTTTTAAATAGGTTACTCTTGGTGAAATGTCTTCGTGAGGTAGAATCAATCAATGTGTCTTTAACACTCCTTTCTCTTTGCAACTCTAAGAGTCACATACCAGAGCCTAGGTTAATCATTTGAGTTTGCTGAACAAAGAGCTGGTGCAGCAAGTGTTGGTCATGAGATGCATCACAGCAGTGACTGTGCCTCCTCACCTACTACATAGTGTGACACAAAAAAAATAGGGCTGCAATAACATATGAAAGGAAAAGAGCTGAGACACCTCGCAACTTCCACAAATCAGCACTGGAAATTGCTGAACACCTTGTATGTCTATCTGTATATATAAATACAATCCCTATATTTACATTTGTGAATCTATACAGTACATCATGATCAATAATCCCCTTTCATATATCTGTCAATCTCTTGTGTTTTTTCATACCAACTCCCAAATTCCTGCCCTACTTTCCACCTATCTATTTTTTTTCCTCTCCACTCCCTCTTATCTCCATTCTCTCTCTCCTTACTTGCTCTCTCAATCCCACTTGCCCTCCAGTTCTCACTCTTACCTCACCCTTTCTCTTTTCACTCTTCCTCTTATCCCCACCCTTTATATCTCTCTCATTGTTCATCTTGACTCCTCATTCTTATCCCTACTTATCTCACTCTTCTCTTTCCTACTGTTGCACATTCTGCAGTCTTAGACACCAAAAAACTACCTTATACTCACCTCCAGAGCGAGCAGCTTCCCGAGCATCACCCATAATTGCTCCACTTGTGTCATGACCGTTGATAATGTTTTTTTCTCAAAGTCCTCATCATTCAACACAGTTGGATTGCTTACTATGTCTGCAAGGAGACGTTCCAGTTCCGCCAACCTCTCCCGATGTGCACTGACACTTCCAGGACGAGGTTGTAGCATGAGGGCAATCTGTAAAGCAATACATAAGTAAATATAGGACTTGTTTTCTTCAATTAATATCATTAGATACATGGCAATGGGTAGTGGAAACTATGCTCTCCTGAAGTAGATTAATGAGAACACCAGACAACAGATGGGGCAGATGAGAGACAACAGTGCAACACTTCCTCTCACCACGGCAGCCACGTGAGCAATGAAAAGTCACTGAAGTGTCGCGGGCGGGCCGTGACATAATGCTAATGGCTGCTACCCAGCAAAATGCACTAATGAAAAAAGACCCCCCCCTGTATGGTAGGCCTTCGATTTTCGTCACGGCATTATGCCGGGGCGCTTACCCGGCAAATTGATTTGACAAAGCACTGGTGTGTGTGTTTTGTGTGTGTATATATTAAATATATAGATATAATTATTATATTATATTTATATAATAATAAATATAATTTAATATTAAAAATTAATTATATATATAATTATATATTTATATATACTATAATATATATAAATATATATATATATATATATATATATTTATTTATTATCACACTGGCCGATTCCCATCAAGGCAGGGTGGCCCGAAAAAGAAAAACTTTCACCATCATTCACTACATCACTGTCTTGTCAGAAGGGTGCTTTACACTACAGTTTTTAAACTGCAACATTAACACCCCCTCTTCAGAGTGCAGGCACTGTACTTCCCCATCTCCAGGACTCAAGTCCGGCCTGCCGGTTTCCCTGAACCCCTTCATAAATGTTACTTTGCTCACACTCCAACAGCACGTCAAGTATTAAAAACCATTTGTCTCCATTCACTCCTATCAAACACGCTCACGCATGCCTGCTGGAAGTCCAAGCCCCTCGCACACAAAACCCCCTTTTACCCCCTCCCTCCAACCTTTCCTAGGCCGCCCCCTACCCCGCCTTCCTTCCACTACAGACTGATACACTCTTGAAGTCACTCTGTTTCGTTCCATTCTCTCTAACATGTCCGAACCACCTCAACAACCCTTCCTCAGCCCTCTGGGCAACAGTTTTGATAATCCCGCACCTCCTCCTAACTTCCAAACTACGAATTTCTGCATTATTCACACCACACATTGCCCTCAGACATGACATCTCCACTGCCTTCAGCCTTCTCCTCGCTGCAACATTCATCACCCATGCTTCACACCCATATAAGAGCGTTGTAAAACTATACTCTCATACATTCCCCTCTTTGCCTCCAAGGACAAAGTTCTTTGTCTCCACAGACTCCTAAGTGCACCACTCACCCTTTTCCCCTCATCAATTCTATGATTCACCTCATCTTTCATAGATCCATCCACTGACACTCCACTCCCAAATATCTGAATACATTCACCTCCTCCATACTCTCTCCTTCCAATCTGATATCCAATCTTTCATCACCTAATCTTTTTGTTACCCTCATAACCTTACTCTTTCTGTATTCACTTTTTAATTTTCTTATTTTGCACACCCTACCAAATTCATCCACCAATCTCTGCAACTTCTCTTCAGAATCTCCCAAGAGCACAGTGTCATCAGTAGAGAGCAACTGTGACAACTCCCACTTTATGTGTGATTCTTTATCTTTTAACTCCACGCCTCTTGCCAAGACCCTCGCATTTACTTCTCTTACAACCCCATCTATAAACATATTAAACAACCACGGTGACATCACACATCCTTGTCTAAGGCCTACTTTTACTGGGAAATAATTTCCCTCTTTCCTACATACTCTAATTTGAGCCTCACTATCCTCATAAAAACTCTTCACTGCTTTCAGTAACCTACCTCCTACACCATACACCTGCAACTCTGCCACATTGCCCCCCTATCCCCCCCTGTCATACGTCTTTTCCAAATCCATACATGCCACAAAGACCTCTTTAGCCTTATCTAAATACTGTTCCCCTTATATGTTTCAAATGAAACACCTGGTCCACACACCCCTACCTTTCCTAAAGCCTCCTTGTTCATCTGCTATCCTATCTCCGTTTTACTCTTAAAATTTTTTCAATAATAACTCTACCATACACTTTACCAGTTTTACTCAACAGACTTATCCCCCTATAATTTTTGCACTCTCTTTTGTCCCCTTTACCTTTATACAAAGGAACTATGCATGCTCTCTGCCAATCCCTAGGTACCTTACCCTCTTTTCCCTACATTTATTGAATAATTGCACCAACCACTCCAAAACTATACCCCTACCTGCTTTTAACATTCTATCTTTATCCCATCAATCCCGGCTGCCTTACCCCCCTTTCATTTTACCTACTGCCTCACGAACTTCCCCCACACTCACAACTGGCTCTTTCTCACTCCTACAAGATGTTATTCCTCCTTGCCCTATACACGAAATCACAGCTTCCCTATCTTCATCAACATTTAACAATTCCTCAAAATATTCCCTCCATCTTCCAATACCTCTAACTCTCCATTTAATAACTCTCCTCTCCTATTTTTAACTGATAATGTATGTATGTATGTATGTATGTATGTATGTATG